GCACAGAAAGACTACCAAGTATGTCAGAAGACCAGCTGGGCTTAGCAGGGAACTCTTCAGTGAGCTAACACATAGAAAGGAAACTTACAAGGAGTGGAAACTTGGACAAATGACTAGGGTGACTAAGAGAATTGCTCAAGCATGCAGGGATGAAATCAGAAAGGCCAAATCACAGCTGAAGATGCAGCTCACAAGGGATGTGAAGGGTAACAAGAAGGGTTTCTACAAGTATGTCAGTAACAAAAGGAAGATCAGGGAAAGTGTGGGTCCTTTACTGAATGACAGAGGCAACTAGTGACAGAGGATGCAAAAAAGGCTGAAGTACGCAATGCCTTTTTTACTTCAGTCTTAAAAAAGGTCAGCTCCCAGACCACCTGGCAGCACAGTTCGGGGAGGAGATGAGGAGCCGATAGTAGCAAAAGAACATGTTAGGGGCTATTTAGAAAATTTGGATGTGTATAAGTCCATGAGGCCAGACATGAGCACCCAAGGGTGGTGGGGAGTTGGCTGATGTGATTGCAGAGCTGTTGGCCTTTATCTTTGAAAACTCATGGTGATTGGGAGAGGCCCTGGCTGATTGGAAAAGGCCAAATACAGTGCCTGTCTTTAAGAAAGAGGATCCTGGGAGCTATAGACTGGTCAACCTCACCTCAGTCCTTGGAGAAATCATGAAGCAGACCCTCAAGGAAGCCATTTCTAAGCACTTGGAGGAGAAGAAGATGATTAGAAGCAATCAACATGGATTCATCAAGGGCAAGTCATGCCTTATCAACCTGATTGCCTTCTATGATGAAATGGCTGGCTCTGTGGATGCAGGGAGAGAAGTGGAGATGACCTACCTTGACTTTATCAAGGCTTTTGAATTGGTTTCCCATAACATTCTTGCAATCAAGCTAAGAATGTATGGGTTGGATGAATGGACCGTGAGGTGGATAAAAAATTGGCTGGATCATAGGACTCAAAGGGTAGTAATCAGTGGCTCAGTATCTAGTTGGCATCTAGCCAGTATCAAGTAGAGCACCCCAGGGGTCAGTTCTGGGACTGGTTTTGTTCAATATCTTCATCGGCGACCTGGAAAATGGGGTGGATTGCACTTGTGAGTTTGCAGGTGACATCAAGCTGGGGGTATAGTAGAAATGCTGGAGGGTAGGGCTAGGATTCTGAGATTCTCAGACAAATTGGAGGATTAGACCAAAATAAATTTAATGAGGTTCAATAAGGACAAGTGCAAAATCCTGTATTTAGGATGGAACAATCCCACTCACTCGTATGGGCTGGGGACCGACTGGCTAAGCAGCAGCTCTGCAGAAAAGGACCTGAGGTTTTCAGTGGACAAGAAGCTAAATATGAGCCAGTAGTGTGGCCTTGTTGCCAAGAAGGCTAATAGCATACTGGGCTGCATTAATAGTAGTGCTATCAGCAGGTAAAGGGAAATGATTATTCCCCTCTATTCAGCACTCGTGAGACAATATCTGGAACACTGTGTCTAGTTTTGGGGCCCCCACTACAGAAAGGCTGTAGACAAATTGGAGAGTCCAGTGTAGGGCAACAAAAATAGTTAGGGGCTGGAGCATATTACTTATGAGGAGAGGCTAAGGGAACGGGGCTTATTTAATCTGGAGAAGAGAGAATTTAATAGCAGCCTTCAACTACCTGAAGGGGGGGGGTTCAAAAGATGATGGAGCTAGACTGTTCTCATTGGTGGTAGATGACAGAAAAAGGAGCAGTGGTCTCAAGTTTCAACACGGGATGCTTAGGTTAGATATTAGGAAAAACTTTCTCAGTAGGAGGATAGTCAAGCGCTGGGACAGGCTACCCAGAGAGGTTGTGGAATCTCCATCCTTGAAGGTTCTGAAGACTCAGCTAGACAAAGCCTTGGCTGAGGTGTTACAGTTGGGGCTGGTCCTGCTTTTAGCAGGGGTTTGAACTAGATGACCTCCTGAGGTCCCTTTGAGCCCTAATTTTCTACAATTCTGTGATTCATGTTTAGAAGAGAAGAGAAAGAAGGCAATTGAAAACTCCCACAGTGTCACCCACCTCCTGGGACTCACAAAATATGGGTTCAGGCACTCCCACCCACTACTAAGCCACTGTGAAGCAGACTTGGATGTGTGCTCTCATGCCCTTCTATTAGAGCCTCAGCACTTCATACAGTTGTGAACTGGTTCCAATCAGTGACCTGGTTCAATTATCCTGCATGTCCATACACTTTGGTATATGCAGCTAAGGGCTTGCCTACAGCAGCAGATCCAGGAGTGGAGTAAGAGGGGTGTAGCTATGCTCCACTTTGGCTATGCTGCATGTACATAGTGAGCTCTATGCTTACCACCTTCTCAGCCTGAACTCCAGAGCTCCACATGTGATGTAATCTCTGTGAGCTTACCAGATGATCAACATGATCTCTGGCCAGAGCCATGGCTTTCATGCATTTCCAGAGCTCAAGAGCCACTGTTCAGCCCCTCTTTTTCCTTAGCTTCTGCATTCAACTGGGGGTGGAAGAGGAAGCAGAGAGCAGCAGTGCTCACCCCCTGGGCTCTGGAGCTTCAAAAAGCAGTGGCTCTGGCCAGAGCTCATGCCAATGGGAACCTGCACAGCATAGACCATAAGCTCTGAGCTCACTGCACATGCACAGCATGACCATACTGCCACCCTCCCCACAACCTTCCTATGGATCTGCCCTTTCCTTCTTCAGCAGAGGCACTCACTATTAATAAGAAAGAATATCCACACTAAGAGTTACACATACATATTAATGTGAAACAATACATTCTGAAGCTTATTGCTCCAGAGTTTATTGCTCTGGGAGTGCCATTTGCACATGCTCCCGGGACTGCAGCACGTTGAGTCAGGTTAGAGCAGCCCCAGCTGGCAGCAGGCCCCAGGGGTCAGCCTGCCAGACTGGGGCTGCATCCCCTGGCTCAACATGCTACAGAGGGGCGGGCTGGCAGCAGGCAACCCCTGCACTAAAGCACCGTCCTGTCCCAGCCAGCCCTGTCAGCATCTACTTTAGCGCTGCTGTGGAGAAAAGTACCCTGCAGCAGTACTTGTATTTACTTGTATTTACAAGTACTGTGCTGCTGCAGAGTAAATTAGTTTACTTCAGCTTATTAGGGGTGCATGTATAGATGTGCAACATTTAGTGTGCAGCTAATTGGTCTACTGCACAATAAAGATTTTGTGCCCAGGATGAAATAACTCCTGCTCTTTAGATTCATGTTCTAGCTTTTTCAATAGCTTCCCAGGATAGACAAACCTTAAGCAACTTTCAAACGCACGTACTTTTATGAAAATTGATGGCACGTGTTCAAAAATTATAATCTAGTACTCCCTTATTTTTAAGATATACCTAATCTGAATTGAAGATAAGTTATTTCTTTTCTTTCTAGTGTATTTTTCTTTAAATGTGAGATGTTCTAAATATGTTTTAAATGCCATATGAATTATGAAGGTCTGTGTGTGTTCGGAGCAATAGATCTTAAAGGCATTCATTAGACTTCTACATAGAAATATATCACATTTCATAAAATAGTTAGGAACCTAAACCTATTTGTCACTTCTACAATTCTAAAAGTTGGTTTCTAGTACCATTATGAACAGCTCAGGAAGAGGGTATACTTTGAAGTATAACTATGATTGATTAGACTAAAGAAATTCCAGTGCTTCGTTGTGTACCACTTTAATCTTTTGAAAAGTGAATGAACAGCAGATGGCCTAATAAAGACACTCTGTATGTTTGCCCAGTATGGATTTGCTCTGAAGGAATTGGTTCAACACTTTAGAGTACATATATTTGGAATACATCTGTCTTAGTCAAGACAGATGGTTAAAGGAAAGAGAAACTTCCAAACACTTGGAATTAGTCCAGTTTGGGCACTATTTTTTAATGAAATTTTAATAGAATATGACTATCGTTCTGTGAGCTTTCTCAAAAGAATACAGCTGCTAGTAGTGTAGACTAATAAGGTAGATTGCTACTGTGTTGGGTTGTTTATGCGTGTGTTTAAAATGCAAATATTGCCACCAATCCTCTAATTAGTGTGATGATAAATAAGTGAATTCATTTTCCAGGACTGTCAGTCTAGAAGTTTTCACCACTGCTAAATTTACTCTAAAAACTCAAGCATAAAGAAAACATATACTGCAAAATCAAATGCCTAATGAAACTTGTGGATATGAAGCTTTGAAGTAGATATTTTTCAATGTAATATACAGACTTAGATTACACACTTTATTTTAAGTGCAGTTGTTAATACACTAAAGTTTCAGTTAGTAAAAGCTTCATGGCTTATAGATCAAAGATTGTGAATTATATGCACCTAAAATGTATGCAGAAATGTATATAAAATCTTTAAAAGTGCTGCATGCTAAACCTAGGTGAAAATGTTCCATACAACATGGACTACTTAAGGGCCTGCTGCATGTTTTCTGTTCATGTATTAAAATGTAGTCATTTAGGGCACCTATACACCTGCATCAAGGCTGCTCTGATGTGCTATAATTACAGTGTCGTAATTACTGCACTCCAGCAGACTCCAGCATCATGCGTATCAGCGGCCCCGTGCTGAAAAACAGCAGCGGGGATTCTTTAACTAAATCTTGTTGAATGAGCTTTAGTTAAAGTGCCCCTGCTGCCATTTTTCAGCATGGGGACACTGATACATGTGAGGCTGGAGTCTGCTGGAGTGCAGTAATTACCATGCTGGAATCTGTTGAAGCATGGTAATTTCAGATGAGTTTTAGTCAGAGCACCCTCAGAGCAGTGTTCAGCACAGGAACACTGATACACATGATGCTCCAGGCACTTTAATTAAAGTGTCCCCCCCCGCCCCTCCCAGATCACATGTATAAACACCTTTAAACGTTGAAAGATTATCCCTTTTTAGCTAAATATTCTATTAATGAATGTAAAAAAACCTAGTATGTATTATCTTTGCAATTTGTTTTGTATGTTAAATTTCTTTTGGTTTAAAAGTGTTGTACTTTTGTTTTTTGTTTTACAGTAATAACGAGTAGTGGCTACAGCCCAAGATCAGCACATCAGTACTCACCGCAGATATATCCCTCAAAGTTAGTGGCTACACCTTTATTAGCTTTTCTTACTGAATGACCAAGACTTTAGGCAATTCTGTTGTTAGAGTTGTAGATCTTAATGCTTAATCTGTTGATCAGTATCTACTTTGAAAATAACTTAAGGGTTGACGCTGCTCTCCATTAGTATAATTTCGCTATATTTTTTTCTTGTCAAGATATACATTTTTGCAGTGTACAGGGTACAGGTACTGCTTAGTACAAACTGTTGTTGCACAATATATACAATTGATTACATTTATAGAACATAAGGGCAAGACTGAGCCCTAGTGGTCAGGTTCTCAGATGTAGGCAGCTGAACGTGTTAACAGTATGTTCAGACATATGGAAATGGGCACTTAGGTGTGCTTAAAAATACACAGGCACAATCACATGTGCAAAAGGAACACTTGATTGCATGGTATTATAAGCTTAAACAAATATATCCCTATACTGGTACAGCCAAATATTCCTAAGCAATGAAAAAGCATGCATCTGTTGCTCCAAAATCACAAGATTGGCTTAAGAAATCAAAAGATTTTTAAAAGAATAGATTTTTGGTTCTTTGTATTTGCCTTCTATTTTTTTTTAAATCTTAGGCATCATATTCTCTAGCTTTTTTATTATGATTATTTTGCAGTCACAAGGGCTAGAAAGTTGACTTTTTATTTGATTATACATGAATGCTGACATTCTCATTTAATTACATAACTCCAAGAGCAAAAAGTTGTTAAAAAACATGAAGACTTTAGATAAAATTGCTAGGGATGGCACAGGGGTAATGCATACATGTGGCATTGCTAGTTTTGTGCACACATGTGTATTACAGCAGTATGCACTTTTTCCTGCATAGATGACAGTGCTAATTAACTTGAAAAAATTGGTTTATGCTTCTACAATGCAAATCTTGAAACTTTAGCAAGTTGTGCCTTCTAAAGTTACTTTGTTTTGGTAAGTTTGCATTCATGTCATAATATAACATATTTAAGAATATAAATAAGTCTCTGAATTAAATGTGGTCTTTCTTATGTCTCTGATAATGGGATTTGGCCTTCAGTATATCAGATTCTTGGCCAAATATATTACAAGGTCTAGCTGAATTTTTAATTTGCTATAATAATTTATTGGCATCTAAATTAATGTGTAATCTTTTTCTGATAGCAATTGCTGCCAACTGTACTGAACTAACTAGAAAAACAAAAGCAAAATAAATTAGCATCTAATGCTTAATCGTGGCTTTTAATGGCCAAATTTCAGTTTGGTTAATTCTGCAGTGTGTTTATTCAACTTTTGGTCCATAAAATGTTGTTTGACTTATTAAAGAATCCAAGACAAATGTTTCACTGTATGTTTTTCAACTCTGGAGGGCAACATTTCAAACTTGATTTTATTCATTCTCCACATAAAATTTTAGTACTTATAAACAAATGATCACATTTATTTCCATTCTGTTTTGTTTAGCGTATATTTTCCAAATTGTGAAAGCCCACCTGAATAGTAAAGTATCACTAGAGACATTTTTAATGCTACTTAATATGGACATGATCCATCTCCCATTGAAGTCAAAAGACCAGATTATCAGTTGCAGTTGAGCACACGTGGTTTGCAAATAGCACATAGACATGGTAAAAGTGTCTATAAACTTAAAGTTGACCTTTGAACTCCACTTTCCTGCTATTGCTGGTATCCCCAAAGCCAGATCCCCTATATTCGGTTCGAAGAGCCTGAGAGCTCTTCAGAGTTACATCTGCTGCTAAGGGTTCAACACTAGATAGAGTTATGGGATGGTCCACTTGTAGCTCCATACTGTAATCTTAAGGTTAGATTGTACTGGTGAAACAGCACAAAAAATCCACTCTGTGCCAGAGAATAGAAACCATAGAGTCTTCCATTTACTTTAGTGGGGGATGGACTGGGTTTCCACAAGAGTAGTTTTTGGCAAAATAAACTGTTTTTTGACTTCTTGAAGCCTTTTTTATTTTGATTGCTTGAATCAAAATGCCAAGTATTTGTTGCCACAGTAATGCTATTTTTCCTGGTATTTAGGCCCTATCCACACATTCTTTCTACACCAGCAGCTCAAACTATGTCAGCCTATGCTGGACAGACCCAGTATTCAGGAATGCAACAGCCAGCGGTCTATACAGCCTACTCACAGACAGGACAGCCTTACAGTTTACCTACTTACGGTATTTGACTTTTTGCTCTTATTCCTCCGTAGTTAGCACTAACATCAATTGCCAATTTGATTTTTTTTTTTTTAACTTTTCTCCCCATCTGTAAGAAAATATTTTAAAGAATCAGTTGAAAATTAATTTCTTACGCAGATTTGGGTGTAATGTTACCAGGCATCAAGACGGAAAGCGGGCTTTCACAAACACAGTCACCACTGCAGAGTGGGTGCCTCAGTTACAGTCCAGGATTTTCCACCCCGCAACCAGGCCAAACACCATATTCTTATCAAATGCCAGGTCAGTAACCATCGCCATCATGTTTTTCATTTCAATGGGACTGTTCATGGAGTGAGGTGCAATTCAGTATGACTAAGAATATCTGAAATAGGTCTTTTAGGTACAGGAATGTTTTGGCCCCAAAAAATATAGATCTCTGCCTAGTGGGATTTTTAGAAGCACCAGAATAGGTTAGGTACCTAAATCCCATGGAGTTCAATAACAATTAGACACCTCATTTACTCACATACTTTTGAAAATCCCACTAAACATATATGTGCATCCTTAAGCACCTAAATAATGTTAGAAATTTTACTTTTTATATTTGCTTAATCAAAAAAAAATTCTTATAAGGTGTCTGAATGGTAGACTAACAAATGAAGTCACACAATATCAGTCCTCATACAGATTTGAGCAACAGATTTGGAAATCCACGATGACAACATCTCAATCCAATACCTTCAACAGTGAAATGCTTGCTGTTGGAGTCAAGAGAACCTGCCTTTGATTCCATCAACAAAAGGATTTCACCCTCAGTTTACATTTGTTAATTAAAAAGAGATGAAAAAAGAAAAGCAGCAGCAATTTATAGGAAGTACTAGCAGGCTCCCTACCAAAATGGGAGATATTATTATTATTTTTATAAAAATTATTATTATAAATTTACCTTTTTCTTTTTTCTGTGTTATACATTTATGAATATTCTGCCATTTGATACTTGTTTTCTTTGGGCTTCTACTAAATGATTGTTATTTTTTTCTTAATGTATCATTATTGTATTTATTTTTCACTCTTTTGTTTTACCATGCACAGTTTTATTTGGATATTTTTATCTTTGTTATTTTTTAGCTTCCAATGTATTTTTATCTTCATATAATATAAAGTAAAATAATATAAAGTATTCCTTAATTGCAGCATGGGTTATCCAGAATATGAGGATAAGCATGGATTGTGCTCTATGATCTGTTAAAATACCTGTATCATTAAAATCTTTAAGCAAAAAATTTATTTTGGCTGAGACTTTATGGTTGCAGGAGAACACAAACTCAGCTACATGAATGAAGTGCAAGAAGGGAGTGATAAAAATAAATTTGTGTAGGAATGTCTGAGATATTGTAGCAAATGTGAAAAGTTTCTTTTTTGATCAGCAAAATCAAGCTTTTTTATACAATATGAAAAGGAAAAAATAAATATAGCATGTGTTTTAGTTCTGTTAAATATTACAACATTTTATATTCTAAAATGAGATTCTGAGGTCTTTGTGCTTCTGATTTGTCTGTGGTTTAACGTGAAATATGTTATTTAGACTGTTGTTACCATCCACAAATAAATAACTTCTTCTAATGAATTTTGTTTTTAAACTTTAGGTTCTAGCTTTACACCATCATCTACTATTTATGCAAACAATTCAGTCTCAAATTCTACAAACTTCAGTAGTTCACAACAGGTATGAATATAAATATTTTTATGTGAAATACAAAATAATCATATTTTAAAGAAATCGGATACTTGCATAATAACTATAAATTTGACCTATTAACATTGAAATAAAACTATTATGGATGCACATTTGGTATGGACAATTGTAAAAATCCCAGTTTCCCATTTTTTTTGGACATTTGGTCTTTTCCCATTTGTTTGGGCACTTAAATATGTTTTAAAATCTGGCTGTTAATTTTAATAGATGATTCTTAAAAAGAAATCAACAGTATTCTTGATTAAGAAAATTAAACTTTGTATGAAATCACATGATTGCACACACACAAACATAAAAGAGGGCTCACTGATTGTTTCAGTTTATTAATTTCCTTTACTATTCCAGGAGTATCCATCTTACACCACTTTTGGCCAAAACCAATATGCACAGTATTATTCAGCATCAACCTATGGAGCATATATGACCTCAAACAATACCGCTGATGGCACTTCTTCATCATCATCCACCTATCAGTTGCAGGAGGCTCTCCCTGGCCTGACTAGTCAACCAGGTACAGACCTACATTCAGGTGAAACATTTTTAGTATTCTATCCAATCTGTTTAGAGGTGTAAAGAGTAAAAATTAATAATCCAACATAGAAAAAATTTAACTGATTTGAAATAATCAGAGATATTTATATTTTATGAAAAAAGTTAAGAAGGTATTTTAAAAGGAAAAGAAGAATCTTGTATATCTAGGTTAGATGTTATTTTGGCAAACTGATTGATACATCGATGTTGTGAGGAGCAAAGAGCAAAGCTATTAAATCATGGAGAGATCTTTGCTTACGCAGAACTACTGTGTTAGGGCAAGTAAGGCAACCCCAGCCCAACTCTCAACAAAGACTTAATATCAGAATATGGTGAGATCTCACATTACCGAGATCGGAGTACTGGAGTATATTTTCTAGTCTCTTGTATTAAATGTTATAATAAATTATTAAAACCAAGCCAAATATTTGTTTATTTAGCCCCCAATCTAGAAAGCCACTGTGAAGCCCCTAGCTATAACATATATCTTACCTTCTAATTCTCAAAATTTAATAATTTACAGTACAGCCCTCTGATACTAGTATAAATAAGTCTGTAAAATTATTTTAAAATAGTCAGAATTTCAATAAGAAGCTCTCAGAGGTTAGGAAAAGGCAGTTCCCTTTGCCAAGCCAACTGTGCCCCCTTGTGCCTCTGCTTTACAGTACAGTATTTTATTACTTTGTCACATACAGTTTCTACGAGACCTCACCTCATCCAGTGCATGAAATTAGCATTCTTCTGTGAGTGAGGCAGTGTTCAGTTTTTCTTTTTATCCTAATCATTTAGCTTGTAGCCCCATGGCTGTATACCTTCCAAATACTTCTGTTAATAAGGATTTCTTTTCCTTTTGGATAGTGTGGTGTCCATTACATTAGTTGCCTTGTAAAGATTAATGATTTTATCTTTGCAACATCCCTGTGAAGTCAAGTAGTAGTACCTTCATCTTATATGTGGGACAGAGATAAAGACAGATTAAGTGGTTTACCCTTAAGCCACATAAGTCTGTAGGAGACAAAAAAGAGCCTGACAAGTTCTAGTCCAGAAGCTCAGGAACATTGTTTCTCTTCTAGGGGATTTTGTTTCATTCATGATAAACAATGCAGTATCTGTAATGAGTCTTTGTTCCATAATCTATGGAAAGCTGTGGAAAGATTAACTGATTTCAGTGAGTTTTCAAGCAAACTGGGTGCATCTACATGAGACGCTGACTGTGCAATAGCTCATTACTACTGCGTAGTAGTCTTGAATGGCAGGTATCATGATGTGACACTAATGCGCAGTAATAACAAGCTACTGCACAATCAGCATCACCTAAAAGCCGTTCAGCAATGCTACGGTGCAGTAACTCTGGTTACTGTGCAGTCATCTGATACTTGTTTATACAAGTACTAAATGACTACGCAGTAACAACTGCGCAGTCAGGGTCTCATGTAGATGCAGCCTCTGTGAAAGAGAAATAAGTGCATTGGACCCAAACCTCTCTTTATTCTCTTTGCAGTAAGTGGACTGAATGAAATACGAGTACTGTAAAAATATAATAATGAATACGCTCACAAAGGAGTTACAATTATATACAAATTATGGACAGCACTGGTAATACTTTTTATAATTGAGATTCCCCATGCTTCCCATTACAAAAACTGTATGTGTGGAAGTGGGTATTTTTTCTTTCTCTTGGACCTTGAAAATAGTTGAACAGCTTTGACTAAAGCTTAAGTAATGTTAACCACTGGATTCAGCAAAAAAATCTGACAGAATTTAAGACAGAAAGTAAAATGTCAATAAGTTATACTCGGGTAAAATTGGAATACTTGTGGAAAATTGACTGTACTCATTGTTCCACATTATAGCTTAAAATATTTTACTGTATGTTGAAAACTGTAATGAATATTATTTAAATGATGTTAGACTGTCTATGTTCCAATGTATGTTTCCATAACCTTTTGAACTTCCTGAGGGAACTTGACAGTATTTTTTTCAGTTGGTAGGTTTGCACTTTATCTCATCCTATTGCTGAAATTATTAGAAGTGATCTATTGGTATAGTGCATTTACAAGCTCTCTTGCTGTAGTGCTTTATAAACTGAATACGTGAGGATCTTTATATGACCTAAACAAAATGATAAAAAGCATGTATGCAAGGAACAGTAAGAAGGATGTATATGTTTTAAATGTTTTTTTAAAATGTATAAATACATGAACGTGTCTTTTAAGTACCCTGTGCATCTGGACTTGTAAATCTGCTCACACCCCCCCAATTCTGTGAAGTGTTGAACTGATCATGCGACACTGTGTGCACAGTGCAACACCCACTTTACAAATACACTGCATGCCTGTGTCCTTGTGTGTCACTTTAAAAATATATTTGCTTAAGTAAAGTGCAACGTTTTGAATGTTTAGCCCTTAGTTTGGAACATGGTGAACACTTCTGATATAGTAGGTCACATCTGAACATTGCAGCCTAGATCATGTTCTACTTGCTATCCAAACAGAGCCTCATTGGCTGGTGAACCATGGGCTAGCCATTTAAAGTCTGAGAAAGAGGGCAATCAGGTGCTTCCCTCTTCATTCCTCCCTGGTATGCAAATTGTGTGCCTGATGATATTCCAAATAGCTAGCAGGGTCTCCTTTCATTAACCTGGGGTAAGAGTACTTTTTCTTTACTGAAGGCAGAAAATCCTTTAACACATACAAATAATCATGACACATAGGCCAACAGTCAAATCTCAATTTTAATTGTATTTATTAAATCAAGAAAGAAGAGAACCAGCTAAAAACTTTTCTCTTCCTGCTAGCTGTACAAACTATAAGAAGCTGCAGTCAGAAAATGACTTGCAGTGTTAAAGAATGCCTAGTTATGTTCTTGCATGCTGTTAGTCAGATCTCAAGTCGTTTTCTTTCTCAGAGCTAAAAGCACTCCTTGTTCTTCTTGTACCTGTCTGTGTGTTATCGGAGGGCTAGATCTGAAACTACAATCTAAAGCTACCTAATGTAGGAAACATCTGAAACTCACTGAGTCTTCTCCAGCCTGAAATTTCCTTAGGTGACTGCGGTTCAGTTCTGGACAAGCCCAGAATTGCTTGAACTGAGCAACTTATGCCTAGCTCATGCCTAAGTCCTACTGGGATAGAAAAACTAGACAAAGAGGCATCTAAGCTGCTTAAGGGGTCTAATTCAGAAGGTGTGCACCAACATGATTGGTTCCCTCAAAAAACAGAAGTTTGCTGTTGAGTCCGGGGGGGTGGGGAATCCAGCTGCTGGCTGTGAGCCTGCAGCTGGTCTCCCCTAGCAATGCTCCTCTTCCCCTTGCCCCCCAGTCCAACCACTGTTTTCAGAATGAGAGGATGGAAAAGGAGTGGAGAGAGTTCATTCTTGGGGTTTTCCATTTGACATTGGAGGGTCATGTGGTGGGAGAGGGGGGCGGGGAGGCTCCAGTCCACCCACCCCACCTTCCAGTGCCAGGTAGAAAAACCCCAAACCGAACTTCCTTCTCTCCCTTTCCCCCTCTCATTCTGAAAACAACACTGAGGCTGGGAGGAGGCACAGGCACAAGTTACTGAGGATGTTTTGTTCTGGAACGTCTTCATCTCAACCCTGGGATTGGGCCCTTTTAAAGCTTTCTGCAGCAGGACACTTCTGTTTAGTCATGGCAGTAGAGCACTTTCGAGGCCAGATAGGGTGAAAATTGTCACTTCTGTCTATGCCTTAAGTTCCTTATGTGTAGTTTCCATGGCATCTCAGGTATCAGTCAGTCTTGTAACCATCTTGCTTCAGAGCCCTTCTCCCTGCTGTCAGCAGGGCCAGACTTCCTGTTCTGGCTCAGGCTATGGGTTTTTATGCCTCCTAAGCCCTGCTCCTTCTGATCAGGACTCCCCAGCCACCCACAAGGGTTTCCAATTAGGGCCAGATGTCTAGCTTGCAGGGCAGCTTACAACTGCTACTCTTCCTGCCTTAGCAGAGCTCTTCCCTACTGTTCTGTTGTTCTGCTAGCCCTGCAACAAGCACGCTTAGTCTATGGCTCCCTGGCTCTCCACTCAAGTGCCAGAGCCCTCTGGCTTCCTGTTACACCAGGACTCATATTCCCAAGAAAGGGCTACAACTCTTGGTATTACAGGCATTGCCCCTCTACCCCTCTCTTGCTTGCTCCCAAGGCTCCAGAACCCACTTTACTTTAAAGATGACTGATTACAAAACAGAAATAATCCTGGCACTGCAACTAAAGACTCTTCCCCTCCCCAAGGGAGTGTTATACTCACTGAGCTAGAGTCAGGCTACTTTTTGCTGAAACCCTTTTGGACCAGTAATTCATGCACTTTTGGCTGCCCAATGGCCAACCTTCCACAAGGAGTATGGAGAGTGCAACCTTTTCTATAGTTTGGTAGTCAGGGAACTTGGCTACAAAGTGGAAGAAATGGAAATCTCTTTAGGCTGAGGAGGGTCTAAGACCAGATCTCCCTCTTTCTGAATTAGTTATCTAGCCACCAGACTTGTGGAGAAAATGTCAGTATTATACTGTACCTTAGGACTGGGCATTTTGAATTGCAAAGTGCAATGGATTGCAAGTGAACAGAGGCACCTAATGCTCAGCCTAAATGAGGACCGCAAGTGCAGAGCTGGGAGGGGACCGGGGGGGTGGGGGGCAAGCTCTCCAGTCTGTTCCCCCCACAGTTCCATGCTTGTGGATCTGGGCAGGGAACCCACCCCCCCAGCACCAGTTCCATGACCACAGGGCAGTGCTCTTAGGTTCCAGACTACTGCACCAGGCAGCATAGTTTGGGGAGGAAATGAGCAGCCAACAGTGGTGAAAGAACAGGTTAGGGATTATTTAAAAAAGCTGGACATATACAAGTCCATGACACCATACAGGATGCACACCTGAGGGTGCTGCTGATGAGATTGCAGAGCCACTAGCCATCATCTTTGAAAACTCATGATGATCAGGAGAGGCTTTTGATATGGTCTCCCACAACTTTCTTGCAAGCAAGCTAAGGAAGTATGGGCTGGATGAATGGACTGTAGGGTGGATAGAAAACTGGCTGTAGCATCAGGCTTAGAGAGTAGTAATCAATGGCTCAATCTCTAGTTGGCAGCCAGTATCAAACGGAGTGCCCCAGGGGTCGGTTCTGGGGCCAGTTTTGTTCAGTGTCTTCATCAACAACCTGGAAGATGGCATTGAGTAAAACCTCAGCAAATTTGAAGATGACACCAAGCTGGGGGGAGTAGAGGATATGCTGGAGGATAGGGTTAGGATTCAGAGTGACCTAGACAAATGGGAGGATTGAACCAAAAGGAATCTCATGAAGTTCAGCAAGGACAAGTGCAAAAATCCTTCACTTAGGGCACAAGAATCCCCTGCATCAGTACTGGTTGGGCAGCAGCTCTGTAGAAAAGGACCTAGGGGTTACAGTGGACAATAAGCTAAATATGAGCCAACAGTGTGCCTTTGTTGCAAAGAAGGCTAATGGCATACCGGGCTGCATTGGTAGAAGTGTTACCAGCAAGGTAAGGAAAGTGATTATTCCCTTCTATTCAGCACTGGTGAGGCCATATCTAGAGTACTGTGTTCAGTTTTCGGCCCCCCCTAAGGAAAGAATATGGACAAATTAGACAGCATCCAGCAGACAGCAACAAAAATGGTGAGGGGGAAGAGGAAAGAGTGTGGGAACTGGGCTTATTTAGTCTGGAGAAGAGGAGGCTGAGAGAGGATTTAATAGCAGCCTTCAACTACCTGAGACTCTTCAGCCTGGAGAAAAGAAGGCTCAGGGGGTGGGACTTAGTGGCAGCATATAAGTATATAAGGAGGGTGGCACCCGGAGCTGGGAGAACACTTGTTCACCAGGGCTGCCCAAGGGATAACAAGGACTAATGACCACAACCGTCTGTAAGGCCTATTTATTCTGGACATAAGGAAAAAATTCTTTACAATCCGAGTGTCCAGGGTCTGGAACAGACTCCCCCAGAAGTGGTGCAAGCACCTACTCCGGATTCATTCAGAAGACATTTGGATGTTTATCTTGCTGGGATCATTTGACCCCTGGAGGCTTCCTGCCTACAGCAGGGGAGCTGGACTCAATGATCTTGCAAGGTCCCTTCCAGCCCCTAATGGCTATGAAATCTACCTGAAGAGGGGTTTGAATGAGGATGTAGCTAATCTGTTCTCGGTAGTGACAGCTGACAGAACAAGGAACAATGCTGTCAAGTTGCAGCAAGGGAAGTTTAGGTTAGATATTAGAAAAAAACATTCTCACTAGGAGGGTACTAAAACACTGGAACAGGTTATCCAGAGAGGTGGTGGAATCTCCATCCTTGGAGACTTTTAAAACCTGGCTAGACAAAGCTGTGGCTGTGATGATCTAATTAGGGATGATCCTACTTTGAGCAGGGGGTTGGACTAGATGACCTCCTGAGGTCCCTTCCAACCCTCATTTTGTATGATTCTATGATAACGGTCTCCCAGCCCCCCGTTATCCAATCATGACAGTGGAGGGGGAGGGGGGCTGGGAGATAAGAAGCTCCCAGCCCCCGCTCTCTGATCATGATCTGGGAGCAGGGGGCATGGAGCTCCTTTTTGCCAAGGCAGAAGGGGGACCTAGTTCTCACCCAGAGGCAAGGAGTTATCTCCCACCCCCTGGTGGACAGCTGACCAGAAGAAGATTTTGCTCCCAGTCAGGCTTCTTAACAAGTGCTACGACACCATTATTTGCCCAGTAAATTTGCTACTTGCTTTTGCAAGTAGGGAGGTTTACTGTGAAGTAAGCATGTGCACGTGTAGACACACATGCTTACTTTGCAGTACACTATGATAATGCTAAGTTAAGCATCTCATGTAGACCTACCCATTTACTAGGATTGTCTGATTTCTTCATTCTGTGGAAGTCTGTTTATACAGAAAGTGGCATTGTAGTAATCATCCTGAGGAGAAGAACATATTGTAAATGGTAGTTTATTGTATTCAGTCACTGCTTTCATCACAGCTGGTACTCAGAGGGATCAGAAACCTGATAACAATGCCTGTTGACCTAATGCTGTTACACATATGTAAAATGGAATGTAAATTAGAACTTAACCATGGTCTATGAGCATCTTAACTCCAGACTAAGTCACTTACTGTATTTTATGTTATTCAGAAATTGATGTCACATTTGCTTGAGGATGTTCCCAATAATGTCTCTGCAGTATGCAACCTGAAGAGAGGGTGGCAGCATAGGGTACTCAGCAGAGAGTCTAGCAGCTACTGAAGTTTGGACGAGGATGCTAGGGCACCTTAGCTCAAACTTAGCAGTGGTACAGTGTTTCTGGTTGCTCCTTTTCCTAAAAGAGGAGAGAGCACACTGACATCTGTTGCTGATAGAGCTGGGACAGAGGTACTGGAGCCTGCCTTTGTACAGAGAGGAATTTACATGGGTCAGTCTTCATCAGCTTTCCCTTTGGACCTTCCTAGCTTTCCTTTATCAGCTTTCCCTGAGGATGCTGCCCTGTTCAGAAGCAGCACAGATTTGGACATGTACTGGATTTGTGCATGAGTTTAAACATTTCTCCAGAACACAGATAGTGTAAAGGGCCCTTCTTTGTGACCATTGCGCTCTTACTCCATTTCCTTTTGTCAGATCTGTTATGAGGCTTTGCTTCCATGGAAGCTCTACTGCTAGGGCTGCAGCAGTTTATGTTTATCATCTGTAATAATGGGCCGTACCATGTTCGTACATAACTCTTACCTGTTGCTTTACTGCATACCCATTGCTGGGAGTCTCCAGATTTCTACTAGCGCTGTAATGCAGCACTATCCCAAATAAGTATTATATTTTTTTTCAGTTTTTTAATTCAAGTTGTAAAACTGTTAAATCAGTGTTCTACCATGCTGAAGCCATTTAAGGATAAGAAATTACAGCATTTCTCCTTTACTGTGAATGAGCTTGCTGTTTGTAAAAACCAAATCAAGCAATTAAGCCTACAGTTGTTCAAAAAGCCATGCATTACTGACTTTTGCAGTTCTAAAATAGACGCATACCTTGCATTCAAGTAAGAGACAGCTGTTCATTCTGAATTAGAGATTAGCTTAATGAAATAAAGTTGGCTCTAAATATATAGAACTTATGAGGTACAGTGATTAGTTACAGTACCCATTAATGGATAATTGTGCGATCAGGCACAGTGTTGCTCCATAAAGGATCATAAAGTGACTGGTAATGATTAATGGAAAATGGAAATGGTATGAAATATACATTTACTTCAGCTATTGGGTGCTTTTAGGAAAAGATTTAACAACTGTGTTTTATTTAAAAGCTTGGAAGATGAAAGTAAATACAGTTGTTGGGAACAGATGTTTTCATTCATTAGAAATGAGTCTTGATATTGTAAAACATTAAATATTTCCTAAATATATAAAATTTTCTAATGTGCTAAAAATAATTAAGACTTTCAGACTCAAGAACTCAGGATTTTCTTTTAGTCTTAGGTTTATTCTACTGTGTTGGAAGAGATAGGAAATTACATTTCCCTGAATAAAAGTTCCTTCCTACAAGCCTTGGAAGGATGATGGCAGCATAGTTAAGGTATCTTGTTACAGTTTCAGAGGGCTGACTAGTTTCATACCACAACCCCTCCCAGTTGAACCAGGTGTAAATTGGTATCTGGTCATTTGGACTGTGGACTCACAAGATGACAATATGTTGCTAGTCTGGTGTGTCACTGGCTACAGAAAGAGGTGAATGTTAACTATAATGGCCTACTAAGTTTGGGTAGACTTTAACTTAAAAAACATATTCAGAACTCCTGTTGAACTCCATGTACATTTTGATTGTGCATGGAATCTTGTTTTGAGCTGTCATTTTTATTTTACCAAAAAAATAATATCCTACGGGTGCTAATCGCTTGTTTTAGAAGTCTGTGGCCCTATTTTCAAAACTGGCTTGCAGTTAAAAGCCTAAACCTCTTTGAAAGTTGGGCTGTAGACATAAGTGCCTAGCCTTGGGTCTAACAAACCATGGGGTTGAAGTGCAGACTGCAGTGTATTGTTGAGATACCTAAGCTTGTTCAGGTACTGAAGGAAGTCTAGCCATGACAATACAGAGCTCAGCCCAGGCTTATTTACCCTCTTCCAGGCTGACATGACTAAACAACTTTTGGTACACAAGTAGATCAGGCATCTGCATAACACTGAAAAGTGCAGTGTGGACATGTTACTAAGGCTCCTGAGTCACAAAGGATGTGGACATACAAACAGCTTGCCATGGATCAGAGTTTTCAGTATCAGGTGCTCTGTCATAGCTGCCCATGTGCACACTTTTGCACCATGGTAAGTGGAACCTAAACCACAAAATCTTATCCCTGTTTCATTTATGACCAAGCTACTATGATTTAGTTTCTGCCTACCACAAAGTAAAAGTACACACAGGCAGCTGTTACAAACAGCTGATAGGAGAAGTGCCAGTTCCAAAATCGGAAGCAGCATAGCTGTATTGGTGTGGCACTTTGCTGAGACTAATCACTTCTGCTGGAAAGCAGGGCTTATTATACCAGATGTAGCACCACAGGAACATGGTTTTCTTGCTTCTGGTTCTGGGGCTAATGTGCCCAGAGGTAGCTCAAGTATCCATGCCCCCTGCTGTCTTGCACTGTGTCAACCAGGAGGACCCACCTCACCCTATCCCCCACCCCACATACCAGATCCAGACCATGGGGCTTTTCACAGTCCGTGTCTGGACATGGCAGCAGGGCAACTGGCAATGGAGTGAGCAGCAGCAGCAGAAGCTAATACAGCTGTTGCTTGCCACTGCCACTGATCTATGCAGATAATAACTTTGATTTAGAGGGGCTAACAAAAACCTGGTAGGACCCTACCCAGGACTAGGCAGTACACATTGAGGGCTACAGGTTGTACAGAAGGGACAGAGTAGGGAGGAAAAGGGTCAGTGTTGCTCTCTATGTAAAGGAACATTATACATCTACCCTAATCAAAATGAGATCAGAGGAGATAGTTCAGGCATTGTGGGTTAGGATTCATGGAGGTCGAGGCGAAAGGGACTTGGTGGAGGGGGTCTGCTACAGACCACCACAACAAGAGGAAAAGCTAGACTTGGAATTCTTGAGGCATCTCTCAGAGGCCATACAGTCTAGGGATGTGGTTGTCATGGGGGACCTAAACTACCCTGACATCTGCTGGGAGGAGCAGTCAGCCAAATCCAACCATGCACGTAGGTTCTTAACCTGCATGCAGGAACTTCATGTAATGCAGGAGGTATATAGTTCCACTAAGCGAAATGCCTTACTGGACTTGGTGTTGGCTATGGGGGATGACCTAGTAAGGGAGCTGCAGATTTATGGTCACCTTGGGGACAGTGACCATCAATCGATTGAATTCACCATATGGTATAGGGTGGGTAAGATAACTAGTAGGGTGGAAGTGCTTGACTTAGGAAGGCTAAATTCAGTGTGCTTAGGAGTCTAGTCAATGATGCAATGCAGGATAAAAGTATTGGTAAGATGGGAGTCCAGGAAGGGTGGTCATGTCTAAAGGAAGTGATCCTTCAGGCGCAGAGAGAGACTATCCCAGTATGAGGGAAAAGGGGGAACGGAGCCAAAAAACTTCCGTGGCTAAAGAGGGAAATCCAAGGGAGCCTAAGGGCAAAAAAGAAGGCATATAGGTGGTGGAAGCACAGGGAAACTACTTGTATTGCACCTGCGGAGAGGCAGTTAGAAAAGTGAAAGCAACTACAGAGCTGAGACTGGCAACACAAATACAAGACAACAGTCTTTTTTTAGGTATTTAGGAAGTAAAAGGAAGGTTCAGGGCAGCACAGGACCCCTACGGAACAAGAAGGAGCAATTAGTGACAGACAGGGGGAACATGGCTGAGCTATTCAATGAGTTTTTTGCCTCGGTATTCCTGAACAGGGCTCAAGATAAGTCTCCTAACAGGTTCTTAGATGGGCATTAGGGGGACACCAGCCCACCAACTGTTGATGTTGACTTGGTGTAGAGTCACTTGGATGGACTGGATGTGTTCAAGTCAGCAGGCCCAGATGAGCTGTATCCAAGAGTACTGAAGGAATTGACCAGTGTCATAGCAAAACCTGGCACAGCTGTTTGAGCACTCGTGGCACTTGGGTAAGGTCCCAGAGGACTGGAAAAGGGCCAATCGAGTCCCTATATTCAAGAAGGGGAGGAAGAAGGATCCAAGTAATTATAGGCCAGTCAGTCTTACCTCCATCTTTTGAAAGATTTTTTAAAAAGATTATGAAGAATCATATTTGTGGGAGTCCAGTGGGAAAAATAATGCAGCAGGAAATCCAGAATGGAATCGTAGCAGGTAGATCATACCTGACCAATCTGGTTTTGTTTTATGACAGGGTCAAAAAATGCTTAGATGCAGGAGCAGAGGTGGATATCATTTTCTTGGATTTTAGCAAGGCCTTCAATACAGTATCTCATCCCATTATCATAAATAAATTAAGAGGCTGTGACATAGATGTTTACACTGTTCAGTGGGTGGCAAATTGGCTTAGCAGTCACACCCAGAGAGTGGTAGTAGACAGGTCAGTATTGACC